AAAAAACAAAAGGCATGTGTTGTGTTCACAGGCATATGTGTGAGTACTGGGTATCTTCAATTGTTCTCCGCTTTATTGTTTGACATGGTCCCTCACTGGACCGTGAGCTCAAAGGTTCAGCTAGATTGGCTGGCCAGCGAGTCCAGGGATCCCCTTGCCTCTGCCTTCCCAGCGCGGCTGTTCCCTGCTTTCATGTAGGAGCGGGTGATTGAACTCGGGTCCTGATGCTCCCTCCCCAAGCACTTGACCTAATGAGTCATAGCGCCAGCCTGACTTTTCTTTAAATTGGCTTTACGTCAACTCACTTTTTCTTCACACTGCTGGATGGTTTTGAGAAACCATCTCACTGTTCAGCCCACTTTAGACTCAAACCAGGACCCCCCTGCTTCCATTTTCTGAGCACTGGGGTTACAAGCCTCATTGCCATGTCCACTGCACTAGTTTTAATCCATTCTAGTACACGCTAAAAGAAACACACGCTTGTTTTAGCTAATTTTCTGAGAAATCGCCACACTGACATCCAAAGGGGTTGTACCAGCTTGCATTCCCACCAGCAATGCAGAAGTGTTCCCTTTTCCCCACAACCTCTCCAGCATAAGTTGTCATCAGTGTTTTTGATCTTGGCCATTCTTTCAGGTGTAAGATGGAATCTCAGAGTTGTTTTGATTTGCATTTTTCTGATGACTAAGGATGTTGAACATTTCAGCCATCTTAGATTCCTCTGTTGAAAGTTCTCTGTTTAGGTCTGTACTCCATTTTTAAAATTGGATTATGTGATCTTTTGGTGTCCAATTTCTTGAGTTCTTAGTATATTTTGGAGATCAGACCTCTGTCTGATGTGGGATTAATGAAGATCTTTTCCCATTCTGTAGGCTGTCGTTTTGTCTTGTTGACCGTGTCCTTTGCTTTACAGAAGCTTTTCAGTTTCAGGATGTCCCATTTATTAATTGTTTCTCTTAGTGTCTATGTTGCTGGGGTTATATTTAGGAAGTGGTCTCCTGTGCCAATGTGTTCAAGTATACTTCCCACTTTCTCTTCTATAAGGTTCAGCGTGGCTGGCTTTATGTTGAGGTCTTTGATCCATTTGGACTTGATTTTGTGCATGGTGATAGATAGGGGTCTATTTTCATTCTTCTACCTGTTGATATCCAGTTATGCCAGCACCATTTGTTAAATATGCTTTCTTTTTTTCATTTGATAATTTTTGCTTCCTTGTCAAAAATTAGGTGTTCAAAGATGTGTGGACTGATATCTAGGTCTTCTATTCGGTTCCATTGGTCCTTCTGTCTGTTCTTATGCCAATACCAGCTGTTTTCAGTACTGTAGCTCTGTAGTAGAGTTTGAAGTCAGGGATTGTAATGCCTCCAGATGTTCTTTTATTGTACAGGATTGTTTTGGCTTTCTTGGGTTTTTTGCTTTTCCATATGAAGTTGAGTACCATTCTTTCAAAGTCTTTGAAGAATTTTGCTGGGATTTTGATGGGCATTGTGTTGAATCTGTTCTATGCTTGTTCTTAAGTCACAGCTACATTTACAGGACATTATGCAATGGCCATCTGCTTTTATATTAAATGCCAAGCACATTGAAACTCATTTATTAAATAGCAATGTTTTTAGCAATTGCATGGTGGGCTGGAGAGATGGTTCTGTGGTTAAGAGCACTTACTGCAAACCTGGCATGGTGGTACACACTGCTAACTCCAGCACTTGGAAGGCAGATTCTACACAGAGAGTTACAGGATGGCCAGGGCTACACAGAGACCCTGTCTCAAAAAAAAAAAAAAACAAAAACAAAAAAAAACCGAGTAAACAAAAAGAAACTTACTGCTCTCGAAGAGGACCCAGGTTCCCAGGACCCACACGGGGTGTTTACAACCTACATAAGGGGTTCACAACCCTCTGTAACTCGGGTTTCAGGGCATCCAGGGTCTCTTCTAGCCCCCACAAGCATTGCATACATGTGGTATACAGACACACATGCAGACAACATACACATAAAGCAAAAACAAGGAAATCTTAAAACAAGAACAAATGCATGGAAGAACGCAGGTTTCTTCTTTCCCGTTTTATCTCATTTGACGGTTTCTACTGCCCCGTTTTATCTCATTTGACAGTTTCTACTGCCCTGAACTAAACAAACCCCTTCCTCACAGTGTTAACTACGGGGATTTCTCACCAGCAGTACTGCAATGAACACAATCCAGAAAAGTTTTAACTGAAAAAGCAATGCTTTGTGGTCCCTATCTCTCATTCATGGAGACCATTTTTTAATTTGATTCTACCCCATCTCCACAGGACTTAAAAAAAAACCAATCTCATCTCTTTCTTTCTCCCTCTCTCTCTTTTAAACTATAGTGTGTGGTTTGAAATCCAAGAACAGTTTTCTAAATTATCTTCAGGAAGACGAAGCAAAACAGCGTAGTCATTTTCTTGTAAAGATAAATTTCAGTGGGCTTGAGACTTAGCTCTGTGGTAGAGTGCTTGCTTAGCAAGCACAAGGCTATGGGTTCGATTCCCAGTACAACAAACCAAACCAAACCAAACCAAAAAAAAACAAATAAAAATTAAAAACCAAAAAACAAAAACAACAAAAAAACTACCTTAGCGGTCTGAGCAGATGGCTCAGTGGCCGAGATGAAGACTGTTCTTGAAGAGAACCCAGTTCAGTTCCCAGCTCCCATATCAGGTGGCTCACTAGCACCCGAGAACCCCAGTTCTAGGGACTCTGGTGCCTTCTGGCCTTGGCAGGCTCCCATACTCATAGGCACGCTTCCTCTCATCCCTTGGGACTTACATGTAAATGAAATTAATCTTGAGAGAAAATTACAATAATTATAAACTCCATGGCCAGCGAGCTGTTGGGAGTACCTGATACCAAGCCTGAGTTCCATCCCCCGGGACCCTCATGGTGAAAGGAGAGAACCAGCCCTCCCAAGCTCCCAAGCTGTTCTCTGGCTTCCACCCAGACATCATGGTATACACGAGCTCACACACATACATACACCTATAAGAACTGTAACCGAACAAACCCAAACCTTCAGCCCTAAACACTTGGTAATTACAAATGGTGAGGAGATACTTAGTGAGAGAAATTACGGTCTGTGGGGTTAAAGCGGAGGAGCGCCTACCTTCAAGTGTAGGAAACTCAATTAGAGGCTTCTGCGGGTGTTGCTCACGATCTTAGGTCACCCGGACAGTTAAGGGCGACACCAGCAGGAAGAACACTGTTCACACAGCAGTTCACTTGTGCAGGAGGTGAGCGGCGCCCAGCCCACGGCATCACGCTGTGATGTGCGCAGAGTTCTGTTTCTGAGTCAGAGCATCTGATTCGCCATTTGCCCCACAGTGAGCCACGCCTCCTAGCCTAGTTAGGGAGTGCGAGGGTCAATTTTAAGGCAGCAGAAACATAATCTGTCCCCAAATACAGGCTGTAGTCATTTAAAAGGAGAAAAAAAGTTGAAATTGTGTTACTGGTGTATGTGGGGTTATACTTGTAACAGTGGGCGTCTGGACATCAGAGGACAGCCTGAGGGAGTTGGGTCTCTCTCCCTTAAAAACTCTTTTTTTAAAAAATTTATTTATTTATTTATTATGTATACAATATTCTGTGTGTATGTCTGCACACCAGAAGAGGGCACCAGACCCCATTACAGATGGTTGCTGGGAATTGAACTCAGGACCTTTGGACGAGCAGGCAATGCTCTTAACCTCTGAGCCATCTCTCCAGCCCAAAACTCTTTTTTTTTTTTTGAAGATTTATGTGTTTGAGTGTTTTGCCTACATTTGTGTATGCACAGCGCTGGCACACTGGTGCCCACAGAGGTGGGAGGGGGTGTCAGATCCCCGAACTGTTAATATGGATGGTATGAATGGTTATGAGCCGTCAAGTGGGTGCTGAGAACCGAACCCAGTCCTCGACGAGAGCGACAAGCGCTCTTAACCTCTGAGCAATCTCCCCGGGCCCCAGTTCACTCCTACCATGTTGGTTTTGAACTCAGACTGTCAAGTCTTTACTCGCTGAACCATCTTGCTAGTTTGTAATTAAAAAAAAAAAATAATGTGCATGTGTGTGTGTATGGGGGGGCAAAGTGTGCCACGGCGGTTGTGTAGAGGTCAGAGGACAATTAGCAGGAGCTGGCTCCCTCCTTGCCCCATGTGTGTCCCTGGCATTAAACTCAGGTTATTCGTGGCTTGACTCACGAAGCCTCCCTGTAGTCCTTGTTTATTTATTTATTTATTTATTTATTTATTTATTTATTTATTTATTTTGGTTTTTCGAGACGGGTTTCTCTGTGGTTTTGGTTCCTGTCCTGGAACTTGCTCTTGAGATCCGCCTGCCTCTGCCTCCCGAGTGCTGGGATTAAAGGCGTGCGCCACCACTGCCCGGCTCCCTGTAGTCCTTAATAACCAATGGAACAAAGCACAAGTGTATGATCTCCTTCATTTGTCTGTCAAATGGTTAAAATAAAGCCAGAGCTAGCTACCTTTTCAAGATTTACTTCATCTACCCTGGTTGGGTTCAGTGGGGCCCAGCGCCACATCCCCAGCCCACACAGTTCCTCTAACAGGAGTTCCTGTCTTTACCAGAGGACAGCGGGAGCTTGTGTGGAAGAAACAGGAATTGGAATTTCTCACCGAAGGCAGCCATCGCAAAGTGCCCTGAAGGCTAACGCACAGACAGGGCAACAGTAACCGGCACTCACCAAATCTCGCAGCACATGACGCAAATATGGCCCAGGGCCAGCCCGTTATCACCACTCAAGACCACAGAGCCTCACGGCACCCTTGTTACTACGGTTTCACTTTCCGCAGCAGGTTCGATCTGCTTGCTTCCTAGTTTTTATTCCTTTATGGTTTTAGACAGGGTCCCACATGGCCCTGTGTAACCTTGGACCCCCGATCCTCTTCTCAGCTTCTCTATGGGCCTCAGCACTAGCGAAGATATTAAATGGTTAGATGGTTAGACTGGACTTTTATTATGAAAGCATCCACAAGCTAAAATGGATATTTAAAATCTTTATTATTTCATCATCAAAAGTTTTCTTTCTCTCCACAGCAGAATGGCAATGTCGTGTTGGTGCATATTCATGAAAAACTCTCGAGTAACTAGCCCAGGAATCAGAGATGGGACTGATGGCAAGCCTGTGTCACAGTCCGACACACAATGCTGCGGCATTGTGTACCCAGAAAGAATATGCGGCTGAAAGAAAGGGGTCTACGGCCAAGAGCACTCGAGGCATTGGTGAAGGAACAGAGAATGGAGAGGGGCCTGGGAAGGAACTTCCCTCTCCACCCTGATGACAGGCAGAGTTCTGACCATGGGCGCGCGTGCGCGCGGACACACACACACACACACACACACACAGCCCTCCATCAGCGCTCTTCAGCCAGCCACGTTTGGTCTAACCCACAAATGGCACGGTACGTTTGCACACTTCACGCAGCTCCCCTGCCGCTTTGGGCATCTTTAGGAAAACGCGGAACAAATTTTGTATATGTTCCTTTTTTTTTTTTGAGAAATAAAATTCTAGAAAACAACAAAAGACAGTTGTCATGGTTACCCATTTTCGGCTAAGGCAGAACACTTCCTTTGCTATCGGCAGACTGGAGAAACATACACACGTCCTCACCAAATACTGCCGACCAATGCGAACATTTTCAGGGCCAGCTTTTGAATTGAGTACTGAGAATCGAAGATGCGAATAATCGCTACAATTTGGTCAGCCCACTTTGGGATGTTTTTGGTTGGATTTAAGTTTGAAGCTGGGACACAGCTGGATTTGTCAACTCTGTATTAATCTGTAGAATAAATACCTTTACAACAGCAAGTCTATCATGATGAGGCCAGACCGCAGGGAAAAGGTGCCAGGAAGCCTGCCTTCAGTGGTTTTGAAACACACACACACACACACACACACACACACACACACACACACACACACGCCTTTAATCCCAGCACTTGGGAGGCAGAGGCAGGCGGATCTGTGTGAGTTCAAGGCCAGCCTGGTCTACAAGAGCTAGTTCAGGGACAGGCTTGATAGTTACAAAAAAAGAGAAAGAAACGCACACAGTCTCTGACCTCAAGAGACTGCTCTTATCACGGCCTGAGTCCCACAACTGTCCCGTCCCTGTCTTACCTGCAAGACTAACAAGTCACCTGTGAACGGCAGCAAGGCCTTGAGGGGGAGGCGCTCTGAATGTATGGCAAAGCAGTTGTTTTCCTAGGAGTCACGTTTCTAATGCCATTAAACTATATTTGAAAAGTTCTCTGACTTAATATATACAATGTACAAAATAAGTTAAAAGGAGGGAGCGGGGGAAAGTTTTTGAGCATCTACAGTGCAAACACACAACGGTCCCATGCATGTCCATGTCACCTTCCGAGCCACGGGACCCGTCGCTTACAAAGCGGCACTCAGCAGCGGAATTCCAGCTTTGTTTTCCTCACTGGCTTTGACAGTAACAAACACAAATTTGGCTTGTTGTCACACTTGTACCTTAAAGTTTAACATAAACCTGAACAACTCTTTTGTAGCAATCCCATAAAATAATTCTCCATTCACAAAACCAGCAACCCTTCTGGAGGGCATGGGCGGTGTCACTCGCCCCCCTGAGGTATAAATGCAGCGGTCTTTGCACTGAGTAAATAGTGTATACAGTATGTCAACACTCTGAATGCTTGCATTCACCCGCAAGTGACGTCATCCTGACTGAATGAAAACTTACTTACATATATATATATTTATAATGGATTAACTGATATTTAGAGAAAAATATGAACTTTAGCCCGTAATACAGCCAGAAGTTCTGAATTCCTGAACCAATGTGAATGGTTATTACATCCGAAAAAGATTTAACATTGCATACTGATTTAAAAACAACCGAACAGGGAAAACACGTAAGTATTTTAGATTCAGCAGGATACCATGGAAAGCACAGTCTAGAGAAGTGGGAAACCAGTCAAGCTTTTCCAAAAGAGAAAATCCTTTTAATCCTTAGCAAGTCCCCGTGGAAACAGCAGGCGTACAAGAGTGAGGAGGGAGCGCTGGGGACAATTCGGCCTCGCGGTCCCCATCTCCTGTGCGCGGATGGCCAACAGATGACAGAAGTCCATGTGACAACAGTCCGGTGGCTCCGCTCACCACTGCTGCCAGCTGAAGTCATCGTTGCTCCCAAAGACCAGGAAGAAGCCCAGGATAGTCGCGAAGATGACGGTGTTCCCCGTGAGAACGAGGGCGCAAGCTCCCCACTCAATCTGCAGCGGGAAGAAGGCAACAGTCAGCAGGTGTGCAGAGCCAAGGCCACTGGTAGCCAATCAATACCCGGCGCATTGGCCAATCATAGGGGTAAGTAATGTGGCTTGTGATGACCGTCACAGGACCACACTCAACACTCTTATACAGTGTTTTTATTTGCCGTATTGACTGATTGAAAAGTTGAGAGTTAGGGGATGATAATTATTCCGGAACATGGTTCACTTCGACAATGACCAACAGAGTTTTGTTTGGCTCCATCTGTAGCCCTGGGCATCTAGGGCTCACCCTGCCCCTGACGGGGATCCCGGCTCCACCTGCAGTTCTGAGTCCCCCCCCCCCCACCTCCCCAGAGCCCTGGACATCTAGGCTGCACCCTGCCCAGGGTGGATCCCTGGGCCCGCATAGGATTCCATAGTTAATGCTCACTAAGGAAGTTACTCTTTCTTAGTGAGTCTCACAGTCTGGCTGGAGCAGAGCGGGAGCCCTAAGCACCACTGATGCAAACATACTTTCTCTGAAAGAGGCTGAGGGCGCAACTGCCTCCATCACACTTGATGCTCGGCAAGTCTCCGCCCTTCCCTCCACCTTTCCAGAGCTCTTTCTCCTCTCTCACACTTTCCCAGCTGCAGAGAACAACCTTCTCAGACGTCTAGACTTTAGAGGTCGGGGTTCTCAACCTGTGGGGCACGACTCCTTCCTTGGAAATAGCCAGACAACCCTTTCCAATGGGTCACATATCAGACACCCTGCATATCAGGTATTTATGATTCATAACAGTCGAAAAAAATACAGTTATGAAGTAGCAGCAAAGTAATTTTAAGGTTGGGGGCCACCTCAACGTGAATGAAAGGGTCTCAGGACGTTGAGAACCCTGCTCTTTATAAAGCAGGCCCACGGGCACTCAGCACTGCGGAGTTACTGTGCCCTTTCTGCTGCAGACCTACGCTTTGCCTTCCAACAGTTTCCCCTGACAGTAAAAAACAAATGGAAAGATGAGGTTTAAATCTGTCCTCTACACCCTAACATCTCAGGTCTCTCTTTTACATGACGGAACTTTTATTTTTTTTATTTTTATTTTTTTTGGATTTTCGAGACAGGATTTCTCCATAGCTTTTGGTTCCTGTCCCGGAACTAGCTCTTGTAGACCAGGCTGGCCTCGAACTCACAGAGATCCGCCTGCCTCTGCCTCCCGAGTGCTGGGATTAAAGGCATGACGGAACTTTTTAAGAAAGAAACCAACAGTCTAAAGTAAAAATCTCCCCAGAAGAAGGCAGCTCACCAGGTGTGCTCTGGCGAAGACAACCGGGAGCCCGAAGGCAGAGACGACGATGCCTGTTGTGAGGAAGATGGCGAGCTCCTTGCAAGCGTTACTCATGGCATCCGAGTCGTCCACTAATCTTCTTGCTATGCAGTATGGAATGGGTGAGAGGATGTAAAAAAACAGAACAAAGAGGGGCCAGTATTGGCTGGAAAAGAGAAAGAAGTTAGTGCAGTTTTCGTCAACCCTGTCACTTTCCAACATACTAAGCGCGTGTTTGTTTAAAGAGCAACAGGAAATGACAAGGTATCAAATGAGGTATGAAACCAAAGCCACAGGCCTGGGGGGGAACGTCAGAGTCAACTCGTCCCTGTACTCAATTACAGCACAATATTTAAAGGGTCTACTGACAAAATGCTTTATGAAATAGTGAAAGAATTTAAAATCACTTTAGCTTAATAAGGAGGCATATTGAAAATGAGAATATTTACACAAAACTTTAAAAATTAAGGACCCATGCCTTTGACATCCTGCCTTATCATAATGTTAGAACCCATGCTTCCCTTAACTGAAACCAACATATAGGACACCCATTGCAGACAGTATTGTAAAACATGGTCTTTAGTTCGTTGTTAGCCATGCTGTGCTGATTTCATTTTCTGATTTCAGCAACTGCAGTGGGGGAAGCTGTGTGAAGGGGACAGACTCCTTCCACTTCTTTGTTATGTTTTAAAAGCATATTATCAAATTTACAAGAAACAAATGGTCTTTAAGATTGACAAGCTTAAATACATACACAGCGGAGACTTGCTGAAGCTATTTGCTTTCTTTTTCTGAAGAAGATTTATTTTTATGTGTTTGGCATGAATGTGTGTGTGTGTGTGTGTGTGCATTAAGTGCACGTAATACCCAAAGAGGCCAGCAGAGGGTGTCATATCCCCTGGAACTGGAATTACAGACAGTGGTGAGGTACCACAGGGGTGTTAGGAACTGAACCTGGGTCCTCTGGAAGAGCAGCCACTGTTCTTAAGCACTGAGCCATCTCTCCAGCCTGTTATGTTTTTCTTAATCTTTTTCTAAGTATTTTAAGAAAGCAAAAAAAATTTTTTTAAGTGAAATTTATATGCTTAAGAAAAAAGCTCAAACAATACAGAAATGCAAAATTAAAACCAGAAGCTGCTTTTTAATTTTTTTTAACCTAAGGAGCTTTTTGTGGACCCTCCACAATCCATACATTTTTAACCAAGGTAAAGCTCCACAGAATAGCATTTGCAGATTTCCAGTCCTTCCTCATTCCTTAAGGTTAAACTGTCTGTCACTATTTCCCAATAATTTGTTTTTTGGTACGTGGAGTTTGCAAAGGTGCATTAGTGCATGAAGGTCAGGGAACAACCTTGGGCACTGTTCCTCCTCAGGCAATGTCCACTTTTATTTGAGACAGGGTCTCTCCCTGGCCTGGGGCTTAAGGAAGAGGCTAGGCTGTCCCCGCCTCCCCAGCACTGGGGTCACATACACGGAACACTAGACTCTGCTTTGGCATGTGGTGTGAAAACCAGCCAAGGAGGACTTGACTAATGAACTGTCTCTCCAGTCTCTGCATTTTAACTCTGTGTGTGTGTGTCGGACAGCCATCCTGGATGTCAATTCTCACCTACCATATTGTTTGAGACGGGGGTGTGTGTACCAGGTTACCCAGCCCCGCAAAGCTTACAGATCCTCCCGTCTTCACTTTCCATCTCATCAGAGGAGCCCTGGGATTACAGACGTGTGCTACCACGCCCAACTATTCCAGGGGTTCTGGGGATTTGAACTCAGGTCCTCACATTTCTGCTGCAAGTGCTTTATCCACTATAACATTTCTCTCAGCCCATAATTTAGTTTTGGATGGGCATTTGTGACGTCACCAGTTTTCCATTTCCGCAATTACAGACATGGTCACTGTGAACAGCGATTTTTTTACCCAGCTACATGTATCTCTACAAGCATTTGCAAGGTGTGTTTGTATGAGAATTTCATAGAAGTGGAGGGCCAGTTCCACGAACTACAGGATACAGGCAAACAAACTAGTTCCAAGAAATGGTACCTACTCACTTCCTAAACCCCTACCAGACCGAGTCCCCACTGGCATCCAGTAGTGTCTGTCTGCCCACTTCCTTTCTTCACCAGTGGATTTCATGTAGCGTTGAGTGGGATTTAGTATGTTTTTCATGTGATTATCAGCAACGCAATCCTCTCTCCACGTTTGTGGTTCCCTTCTACTCATTTGTATTTTTAAAACTAAAAGTTACTTAGATGTTAATTTTAAACGTTTTCTAAACTGGGCAGACGATGAATATCTAGAATTCTAGAACTTGGGAGGCTGGGGCAGGCAGACTGTGAGTGAGGTCAGCCTGGGCTACGCAGTGAGACAATGTCTCAGTGGAAGGGAGTTCTTTCTATTCTAGGGCAAGAAATCACCTACCTCGTGTGTGTAGTCAGCTGTGTTCAGGAGCTGCCTATGTTATTTTCTGTAATAAGATGTTTTAGATTTCGCTGGAGTATTATTGATGGGCAGTAGGGCCAGGCTGCGGTCACCAGGTGACCATCACAAAAGCAGGTCACACCCCAAATCCCTCTGCCTGGGCATTCTGGGGTCTCTACAGATAACCCTGAAGCGGTGATTTTCAGGAAAGGGTTGTGTTTGGTGAACAAGCATTTCCACCAGGGAAAACAAAGCGCGTTCGAAACTTTAAAAGCAGGAGAGTTTTACCTTTAAACACTCAAAAAGAGGAAAACAAAAATCCATTACGTACTTGTATATTGGAAGGGCACATCCCAGCATCAAAAACATCAGGCCAATTGCTCCTCCAAATGACAAGCTAATGAGAGCTGCAAAACAAACAGAAGCCCCAGAGAGCTCAGTAGGGAAGACACTGGTGCAGCCTTTGTTCCCGCTCAGCCAGAGCACTACTGTGAATCCCAGAAGTGAAACACACCCTGCCCCCTCCCCTCCAAATTCCAGCTGTTAAAAGTGGCTCACGCCAGGTAATCTCAGCATTCAAGAGACTGAGGCAGGAGGATTACTACAAGCTAAATGTCAAACGATCTCAAAAACCAAAACAAAATGTGAACTGTCTTCAAAGCTGACAATTACAGAGTTTCAGAAACAGCTTCTACGGCGCCCTCGGCGGCGCCCTCAAAAGCAAAAGCGCTAGAGGTTGAGCGTCCTCCTTAGCCCTTTGAAAGGCTCTGAAATCTGGAAGTCAGCCAGGCCTGCTGACACAGGTCTTAATCTCATCTCTAGGGAGATAGGGATAGAAGGAACTCGGGTCTACACAGTGAGTTCCCAAACAGTCAGGGAAACATCATGAAACGCTGTTGCAAACAAGCACTTTGCCCCTCAAATACCTCATTATGGACATTCAAATATTCCCAAAGTGGAGGAAATCCACAAGCTGAAACACATTTGGTTCCAAAAACTCCCAATAAGGAATCCTTAACCTGTATATCAGTTTAGACGGACTGCTAACACACAGCACACACCCAGTCACCATTGCTCGGGTCTATTAGGCCCCAGGGTTAATGCCCGCCCCCACCATAGCACAAACATTATATTTAATCCACACTGAACCACTTGCCACACAAGACTGATGGCCCCAGGTCCATCCCTGGAATCCACACAGAAGTGGAAGGGGAAACGCCATTCTATCAAGTTATCCTCTGACCTCCACACTCATCACACACGATAGGAAGGGAGGAGGGAAGGAAGGAGGGGCAGAAAAGCCTCACCAAAAACAAACAAACACAAAAGCACAAGCCTGAGAGAAAAGCTGTTCAAGGTTATGTGTAGCTAATGTATGATCTTTTTAAAAAATTATTTTTAGAGAGGTCTCACTGTGTAGCCCTGGCTGGCCTGGACTTTGCTATGTAGACCAGATTGGTCACCTGCCTCTGCATCTCAAGAGTTGGGATTAAAGGTATACGCCACCATACATGTCTTGTATTTGTTATTTTTCAAATGCAAGACATTTACTATATAGACTTCATAGTAACATCGTGACTATAGCTTTATTGGAACCAATCAATTTTGTTAGTCTTTTTTTCTTAAAACAAAAACTAACTTTGTTTCTTAATAATGTATTTATTTTTATTTTATGTGTATTTTTTGCATGTTAGTCTGCATGTACGTCTGTAATGGTGTCAGATTCCCTGGAACTGAATTTACAGACAGTTGTGAGCTGCCATGTGGGTGTTGGGAATTGAACCTGGAAGAGCAATCAGTTCTCTCAACTGCTGAGCCCAATTTGTTAGTCTTTAAACAGGTTACTGAAGCACAGTTACTTTGGCCCTCATTTCCCAAGTCCCAGGAAATCTGAAGGGTGTGAGTGCAGCCTGATGTGGACACGGGACATCTTACCAAGGCAGCAGGAGGAGGAGGGGTACTACAGTGAGACACACCTCTGAAGTCCCCCACTTGTGTCTTGTGTAGGTTAAAGTGAGAAGGGACTTTATTATATGTAACCAATGTTCTAGATCTCAACCAAGAGAAAAGTGTTAGCTTCTACACAGCCTGTATTTCTGCACCCCCAATGGCTAAGGACATGACGTGGTAAGATTTATTACATTTTTTTTATTTAGACTTATTTATTTGGTGTGTGTCCTTGTGGAGGTCAGAGGATGACTTACAGGAGCTGTTCTCTTCTCTTACCATTCTGGGGCTTTGGGGGTTGAACTTGGGTCAGTAGGTTTAGACGCAAGCACTCTTCCTTACATGTTAAGGCATTTCACAGGCCCAGAAAGTAACTTTTTAAAAACTGGTATGGTTTACCTTAATAGAAAAGTTAAAATCCAAAAGATAAGTAAGAATCTAAAATTCACCAAGCAAAAACCTACAACACACAAACCAAAATCAGCAGCGAGGGGTCAGACACCCACTAATATTACTGACAAGATGGCCACTGACATTGTCTTGGCCAACTGTGAGTCAGCTGGAATGCTGAATACAACACAAGTCAGGTCACCATGACAACAGTGTACTTGGTTATTAACATCATTATATTTTATATTTCTGGCAGCAGTGGGGAAAAGTTGAGGAAGTGTTTGTTTTGTTTTAAACAGCAAACAGAGCACCCCAGGTTTACGGGGAGTGCAGTAACTACAGAATACCGAGTTTCCCTTTTGTTCTTCACGGACCTGTCTAGAGTCTCTGACTCGGTCACGCAGGCAGTAACATCCTGGCTTCCTCTACTACTCTTCCCTGTTCTGGAAACCAGCGGCTACTTCCTCCCAAGGCCTCTGTGCACGTCTATCATCCTACCTCAGGGTTTTCATTCAGTCAAACTTCAAGCACACAGCAAGGAGCTGGCTGACTCTTCCCAGCCCCTGGAGCCCGTGTTCCCGCCCTGCTCTGTCTCTCCTCTAGCTTATTACTATTTTCCCTTCCGCTCTCCTTTCCAGCATCTCCTCCTCAGAGCTACAACTCTGCTACTGTATTTATTACTTATTGATGTACAGAGGAGCTAGGGACCAGCTCTGCGGGACAGTGCTTGCCTGGTGCACGTGAGGCTCTGGATTCAACCTCCAAGGACCGTGCATGAATAAATAACACTCATTTACTCATGCAACAAAAGCACCGAGCATTCGATGTGTGCCATATCGCCCCTGCTGCTGAAGGCACAGCAAGGAGGAGGGAAAAACCAACAAAGCTTTTCCTTTTGTGGTGTATGCATTCTAGTGGGAGAACTAGGCAGGATTTTAAAATCATCCCGTTTTATTTACCATGCGTTATCTGTGTGCGCATACCAATGAGCCATCTGGCTAGTCCCTAAAATACGAAACCATGACCATGTGTGGTGGTGCACTCTGGGAAACCTAGCACAGCGTGGTGGAAGCAGCGAGGACCAGGCATTTAAAGCCAGCTTTGACTATATACTGAGTTGGAGGTTAGGGCTAGCCTGGGCTACCAGAAACCCCATCTCAAAAAATCAATGTCAATACAATTGATGAGCAAACAATGAGCCATCATCGATTTTACGGCTGCCGGGTCTGCCTTCTCGCTTACACATTTTCACTTTCTTAATTGTTCTGTCCCCCCCCCCCCAACAAGATTAGGCGTCCATGGGCATTATTTAAGATCTCTTGCACAAATGGGACCCCCTTCAGGATGAGTTTCAGATATATTTATCTCTGTAGCCTCAGGAGTTTCTGTAATAGCTGGCAAACAGCGGGGACTCGATAAACACTTCACCAAGGCATTACTGAGAAAGTGAGGTTAGATATTCTGCTTGTTTAGGAACATGAATTCTGGAAGAAGCTAAAGATTGTAGAAAACAAAAAGCCAGTGATGAAGGCAAGCAGGTAGGGAAGGGGTGAGAATGCTGCTGGCCCGACAAGGCGCTCTGATGGGCAACGCTGGGCACAGCTAAGGAGTAAGAGGCCCGTGTGTGTGTGCGTGTGTCTGTGTGCCAGGATCTTCAACTGCGTGTGGGTCCTTGCTTAGTCACCACAGCAGCAATCCAAAATGATCCCTATTCATCTTCCCCTCCCAACTGTTCCTCTTCTGTTTCTGACACCCAGATAGTCTGTATGCCCCAGCTTTAACATCCAGTAACTACTGTAGAATGAACGTAGCCCAGTGGAACACAGAACTGCGGAGAGAGGAGCCCAACAGCACTGTGTCCTGGCCTCTACTGGCCACGAACTGGTTACCTCAATAACTTAGCTAGCTCAGTTCTTCTTCTTTTTTTTTTTTTTTTTTTTTTTTTTGGTTTTTCGAGACAGGGTTTCTCTGTAGTTTTGGTGCCTGTCCCAGAACTAGCTCTTGTAGACTGGGCTGGGACCCCCTTCAGGCCTCGAACTCACAGAGATCCGCCTGCCTCTGCCTCCCGAGGGCTGGGATTAAAGGCGTGCGCCACCACCACCCGGCTTCAGTTCTTCTTTCTATAAATGAGAAAGACTATATGGAAAAAGCAAGCAAGACCCTAAACACTGAAGATACTATTAAAAAAGAGATTCTGAAGAAAAAAACACCTCTACTCTGGGAAATGCAGCCGCCAAACAGCTTAGTGTGCCACTGTAGAAAAGACAGAATTTATCCAGAAGTCATCTGGGATAACATGTTCTACTGGAGGAAGCAAGAATCAGAGTTCGAGTTAGCAAGCTTCAGGCTAGCTTGCGCTATATGAGAACCAACTAACCAACTAGTTGACAAACTACCATCAGCACCAGCCTGAGAAGCCCTACCAGCAGCCCCAGCAGTACCACCAGTACCAGCACCAGCACCACAAAACCCCATCAAAACAAACAAACAAAACAAAATCTAAAGCTAGGTATGGTGATCCATACTTAGCATTCAGCAGAGTGAGGCAGGATAGGGTGTTCAGGGAAGCCTGTGACACATGACTAGTTCCAGGCCAGCGAGGCCCACACATCAAGATGTGGAAGGAAAGAAAAAGAACACCCATACTTAGTTTCATTTCTTAATAGTTCCGTGTGCTTAGAACTAAAGCCCAGAAATCACTGTTACTTGAGTCTTATGATGTGAAACTTTGTAAAAAGTCTGATGTTTTGTTTCCCACACTGAAATACATTAGAAGTAGACGAAAGACTTGCCTGCAGTCAACAACTGCCCCCCTACAGGAGACTGGGGAAACATTGTAAGTCAGGCAGGAAAAGAAAAGTCTTTCTTAAAATGTGTTTGCAGTCTTCCTAGCAAGAGAAAGGGCTTAATGTGTGTGAGGTTAGCTCTATTCTGTGACAACACACGTCTAGATTAGTTTTTAAAATTTGTTTTTTAACTGGGTGATAGTGACGCACGCCTTTAATCCCAGCACTTGGAGGCAGAGGCAGGTAGATCTTTGAGTTTTAGGCCAGCCTGGTCTATAGAGAGTTCCAGGACAACCAGGGCTACACATAGAAACCGTCTTGAAAAAACAAACAAACAAAACCCCAACTAAAATAAAGCTTAGTTTAATGAAGAGAAAGCAAAAGAGCCAGTGAGAAGCTAAGCATGGTGGTACATGCCCATGATCCTATGAAGAAGGCTTAGGGGCTGCCTGTGGGTTCCAGGTCAGCCTAGACTACACAATGTCTCAAAAAAGCAGATACACAAAAGTTAACTTTAACCAAAAAATATCAAATGGAAAAAAGAAAGCATATTTAACAAGTGGTGCTGGCATAACTGGATATCAACATGTAGAAGAATGAAAATAGACCCATATCTATCACCATGCACAAAATCAAGTCCAAATGGATCAAAGACCTCAACATAAAGCCAGCCACGCTGAACCTTAAGTGGGAAGTACACTTTTGAACACATTGGCACAGGGAACCACTTCCTAAATAGAACCCCAGCAGCACAGGTACTAAGAGAAACAATTAATAAATGGGACCTTCTGAAACTGAAAAGCTTCTGTAAAGCAAAGGACACGGTCAACAAGACAAAACGACAGCCTACAGAAGGGGAAAAGATCTTCATTAATCCCACATCAGACAGAGGTCTGATCTCCAAAATATACAAAGAACTCAAGAAATTGGACATCAAAAGATCACATAATCCAATTTTAAAAATGGAGTACAGACCTAAACAGAGAACTTTCAACAGAGGAATCTAAGATGGCTGAAATGTTCAACATCCTTAGTCATCAGAGAAATGCAAATCAAAACAACTCTGAGATTCCATCTTACACCTGTAAAAATGGCCAAGTCAAAAACACCGATGACAACTTATGCTGGAGAGGTTGTGGGGAAAAGGGAACACTTCTGCATTGCTGGTGGGAATGCAAGCTGGTACAACCCCTTTGGATGTCAGTGTGACGATTTCTCAGAAAATTAGGAAACAACCTTTCTCAAGACCCAGTAATACCACTTTTGGGTATATATCCAAAAGATGCTCAATTGTGCCACAAGGACATGTGCTCAGCTATGTTCATAGCAGCTTTGTTTGTTATAGTCAGATCCTGGAAACAACCTAAATGCCCCTCGATTGAAGAATGGATAAGGAAAATGTGCTACATTTACACAATGGACTACACAGCAGAAAAAAATAATGATGGCTTAAATTTTGCAGGAAAATGGATGGAGCTAGAAAACATTATTTTGAGTGAGGTAACCCAGACCCAGAAAGACAATTATTACATGTACTCACTTATAGGTGGTTTTTAAACATAAAGCAAAGAAAGCCAGCCTACAAACCACAATTCCATAGAACTTAGACAACAATGCAGACACTAAGAGAGACTTCTATAAATCTAATCTACATGGGAAGTAGAAAGTATAAAAAGACAAGATCGCCTGAGCAAATTGGGAGAATGGGGACCTTGGAGGAGGGTTGAAGGAGGGAGGGGAAAGGCAAGGAGGGGAGCAGAGAAAGATGTAGAGCTCAATAAATATAAAAAAAAAAATTCACTTTGGAAAAAAAGTTAACTTTAAAGACAAAAAACAACAAAAAAACAAAAAAACAAGGAAACAAAAGATAAGGTTCTGGCACCAAAACACACTTAAAACACAAGCTCCTATTACAGATACTATATGAATACTGTAAGAAAATTATTATTTTAAAATGTTAAGCTAAAATCAATAATTTTAAAATATTTATTTCAGTATGGGTGTGTGTGTGTGTGTGTGTGTGTGTGTGTCAATGAGGTGCCTACTGAGCTGGAGTTGCAGACTTTGGTGAGCTAGGATGGGGGTGCTAGGATCTGAACTTGGTTCTACATTGAGAGCGATAAGCACTCTTATCCTCGGAGCCATCTCTCCAGCCCATAAAACTACCGATGCATTTATTTATACAAGAGCCAATTCTTTTGAACACTCACATATGAGAAAGCAAGTCCCGTGGAAGTGTTTGGGGGGGGGGGAGGGGAGGATCAAGATACCCTAGGGTCATATTTCTAAGCATTCAATACTCAGTATTTAAACGATGTCCAAACGCGACTGCACACGACATCTCATCTCTTTTTTTTTTTTTTTTTTTTGGTTTTTCGAGACAGGGTTTCTCTGTGGTTTTGGAGCCTGTCCTGGAATTAGCTCTTGTAGACCAGGCTGGTCTCGAACTCACAGAGATCCGCCTGCCTCTGCCTCCCGAGTGCTGGGATTAAAGGCGTGCGCCACCACCGCCCGGCGACATCTCATCTCTTAAGTCATTACAGATAAAAGCTGAGAACTGCTCAAAAGCGCTCCCCAAACCAGTAATGTTTCTTCAGTTTCATGAGACGGGCAACGAGGTGGCTTATTTTATATAAACGGTGTGTCTTCTGTGACACACCAGTAAGGCGAGAATCCATACAGTCACCGAGTGATGCAACACCTGGAAGATGAAACAGGAGTGTGGTTTCTACTCCCAAAGCCTCCAGGCCAGGGATGGAACAGTCCAATTACCTAGCAAAAATTCTCTTGAGACAAGCTGATGATGGGTCTGTGACTACAAAAGGTGAAGGGGTCAAATTCCCCAGTCTGGGAGTTAGCAGAAAATAGAATTTATCACAAAGTAACAGGCAACCCGCCTAAGAAATATATAATGATCTCGAGAGCCTTGCTACAAAGGCGATATAAAGGCGGACAGGAAGAAGTATCTTGATGACCAATCGTAACTTTAAAACCCACGGAGAGAAATCTTTAAAAATGTAAGTAAAATTCCGTTGGAGTCACTGTCCCTAGACTAGCATTACCCACTTTTGGAGAATCACAAAGCTGTTTTCTTGTTAAAAAGAGTCCCTCGTTAAAGACACTGAAGAAATGGGACTGCAACATTTTACAATAACTTCCGTTCACATTAGGATTGAAAGGATCCATTAGAGTTCAAAAGGAGATCTGAAAGTAAGTTTCCTACTTGCTCAAATGACGTGGTTCTATATAGCAAACGAGAAACGTTTTTTCGGACACCGAGAAGGAACAAGACACCATAAAAATATGACCCTGGGAAAAAGCTCAACCCAAATCGCCCGCTCCAGCGAGGTGGGAGGCACCACCAGCCAACAGTTTACTTCCTGCTTGGCTGTCTCCTCTACAAAGCAGGTCAAGAAATCAAAGCGATCCGTTGATAAGTAGGCAGAAAACTTTCCTTCTAACCCCAGGGGGCAAAACTACCGAGCAACAACAGCCCCTCTCTCCAAAGAAGTCAATAAACAAGTTATCTTTCATCAAGGTGTCAGTTACCTTATCTTGAAAAAAAAAAATCACTACTAAAAAAGTGTCAACGTGCAACTGTGAGGGAAAGGCAGCCTTCGGGTGAGCATCCGGGCTCTGCTGCACCGTACAAACACTGACTATCAAGATGCATCCGATTTAGAGGCAAGGAGAAGATGGTGCACCGGGATCCCGGGAGTGGATGCAGAGCTCGGGCTTCGGAGAGGACCACGCTCGTGCCTCGGGTGGGAAACTACCCTGATGTGCGGGGCCGGGCATCCCTCCCGATCGCAGCCCTCAATGTCTCTGCCTGCAAACTCGCTCACAGCGTTCCGTGGCCGGGCTGCCCGGCTCTGGTCCAGGGGCGGAGCGCGGGGTACGGCCGGAGGAACCGGGGCTCGGTCGTCCCCCACGCCGCCCCGCCCTACCCCCCGCGGTCCCTGGCCCCGCGGCCCCGCGCCCCAGGCCCACCTTTGATGCCCGCCATGGCGGTGACGTCGCTCCTGGCTCCACGACCCGGGCGGTGGCCGGGAGACCCGAGACGCGCGACGGCGGTCAGACAACACCCGGAAGTGCACGACGCAGCACTTCCGCCGGCGGCTCGCGCTCGCGCGGGGGCGTGGGGGGCGCGCGGGGCCGGTTCGGGGCCCGCCTTCCTCCGGAGCTGCGGGGCGGGCTGCGAAATGCGGGGCCGGGTCTGTGGTTCCCATCGGACCCGAGAGGCGGCAGCGTCGGCCCGAAGTCTCCGCGGTTTCGGGAAAGGCGCGTGAGGAGCTCGCGAAGACGCGGGCGATGTCCTTGCGCGATCGCTTCACGTTCTGCACGGCGAACCCATTTCTCCCCCATACCAGCCAGTCTGTGACTCGGGAAATGGGTGGTCTCTGCCTCTCTCCTTAGGTTCTTACATAGATCGGGGCTCTGACGAGAACCACCCCCTCTTTTGGGGAGTCATGGATGGGGATAGTGAAGATGCATCCTCTTGGGGCTCGCTGTCTTCTTGGTGACAAAAAGAATGGGGGCTGGGGCGTCCCGCAGAGATCCAACATATTTTTGTAATCTTCCCACATATATGTTGGAGAGCCGGATAGACTTTGGAATGAGCAAATCCAGGTTAGTTTCTGACCTCAGGTTGTTTGCGGACTAAAAGGGGGGAATACTCAATACTCAACAAGAGTAAAAGTTCAACGAAGATAATCGCTCCTAAGAAGAATCTCTACTCCAAATATACAACTGTGGCATAAAGGTTATTTTAGCTGAAACCAACAAAAAAAGACATAGGCATTGACTGCTCTCTTTTCTGTACAAAAGCAGAGTAAGATTGATTCTTGTAAAGGTAACAGGAACTTCCCCGTGTTACATAAAAAGATATTTGCAACACAAATTTTCCCATTTGTAAATATTTTCATTTCTGAGGGAGAGACAGCTGTCTCTATAAGCAGCCCCAATTGGAGTCTGCAGAAATGCTACAAAAATAGCCTTTATTAGTTGGTTTCCCTCTGAAAGCCTACACTTCTTTCATCTAATCCGTTCCCCACTATGCATTGCCCTTTCTTAAAAGGCAGTATAGACTCCCAGACCTAGCCCATTGGGTTTTTCCTTATTTGGAGGCTTACTAAGCCTGGGAAATACATTTTCCCCTTTAAATCTGCCTTGTGGCTGCTCACTATGCAAATCTCAGCTGTTGAAGCTAATTAAGAAGGCAGAGGGAACCTTTATCCTAGGAATATCTAGGAAATAGGAAAGGGTAGTTCTGTGGTCTGATCTGGCAGCCTTCTCTTCATGGAAACACACAGTTGGCTTGTGTGTGTCTTGGGGTGTGTGAAATGGAGAGAGTTGGAGAGGGGAGGAGCCAATGGGTTGGTCAGGGTTGTTATAGGCCCTATCTAGAAACTTCTGGAATTTGTACCTGCACACACTGAAAGGGAGTCACCCTATAAATTTATTGGGGAGAATTGAAACTGGGAGGCAGGAGCACCTGGGCATATTTAAATCGTGCCAGGGAAACCAGGTCCAGGAATTTATGGGACAGAAAAGATAGTGTATATAACTCTTGCCTGAACCTCATAAAGCGTTGGCTACTTAGCACTGCGATGACCTGGCTCTATACCAACTTGTTAAAGGATACCTGGTGTGTGTGTTAAGGACCAAGAACTTCCTGACTGTTCCCCACTGCTGACCCAACCTACTCTGCTAGCTGCCTATCCAGATGCCTGTTCGTTGGTTGGGATCTGGACCTGATCTGCCATTTTCTGCTCTGGATCCAGTTGGGTTTGTTCACACTGAAGCTGATTTCTGCAGCTTCTTTCTCAAACCCGACCTCTAACAGCACTGGCTTGGGTCCATGTCTTAGCAATCAATACAAACTTATCCACTTCTGAGCCCCTTGAGCTCTGCTTCAGTCTCTTTAACATGCATTCGTTCTGTAACTCGTGCATAAGTATAGAGACACGTAAGTGTATGACTATGCTGTATGATATTCGAGTTAATATTAGTAATTGCGATTGGAATAAAGAACTTGAACTCATCTAGTCCAAGATACCAAGGTAGGCAGATTATATCGCAAATTATACTGCCATTGAAATCACTAAACTTGGGTTGGAGAGATAGTTGAGTGATTAAGAGCACTGGCTGCTCTTCCTGAGGACCCAGGTTCGGTTCCCAGAACCTGCATGGTAGCTTACAAATGTCTGTAACTCCAATTCCAGAAGATTGGACACCCTTACACAGACATACACGTAGGTAAAGCGCCAATGTATATAAAATAATAGTCATAAAAAAGAGACCACAACTTCGTAAATTTATTTTTATTCAGTAAATTCTGACATTTCCACATTTTGGAAAGACCCAAAAATGCTCATCTCTGTTTCTGGCATTGTGTGCTCCAGACATAAAACTATGGGGAAACCAATGATACCATTTCAAATGTCCCCACTCCACGTGCTCTCCTTTTGTTCTGTGGCGTTCAGCATCGAAAGCAGGAGTGGTTGCTGGTCAGTGTTGATGGCTGTGGTTGGAAAGTGTTGGGTTCACACGAAAGGCTTGTAGCTCGGCTCTGAGGAAATGCATTTAAAAAGTGCTTTGCGAGGTAGCTTCCAGAAGCTCTTGTGCTTAAGTTGTATTCGCTGGTCTATTTTGAATACAAATGTACCGAGCATTAGATGTCTTTAATAGCATCACAGGGGAAGTCAGACTGCTTACCTGGTCAGAGGGTTCCGTATACTTTTGCTCCCATAGTCACGGTATTAAAGGACTTTGCCCTCCTTTAACTTTCCCTGGGAATTCAGTCTTTGTAGCAAAAATGCAAACAAAACAAAACAAAACACACTACAATAACCACTTAAAGGTCTATTTGGGTCTCCTGACAATGCCTAAGGAACAAAAACCAACCAATCAACCAACCAAACAAACAAACAAACAAACGAACAAACAAAAACCAACAGGTCACCACCCATCACTCAAGTGACCCCTTTGGTTTCCTGATACGGCCTAGGGTCTGGAAACTTGAAACCTTAAAAATGGTGTTTTCAAATATTGTATTCAAAGACCAGCTATAACAGAATTCTTCAGATGTGTTTTAAACTCCCAGGTTCTACTTTACATTACCTGAATTAGAAACTTTTGTGGACAAAGCCCAGAAACCTAAGATGTTAAGATGCATCTTGAATGGTTGCCATGCAAACTATGGCTTGAAAATCATTGGGGGAAATCCTTTGGGGAAAGGGAAGAATGGTTGGGACTTAGTGCAGTTTTTCAAGCAAATCCTTTATGTTTGCTAGTGTTATATGTTTAAGCTATATCTTTTTAAAAAATATTTATTGATTTATTATATATACAATATTCTGTCTGTATATATGCCTGAAAGCCAGAAGAGGGCACCAGACCTCATTACAGATGGTTATGAGCCACTATGTGGTTGCTGGGAATTGAACTCAGGACCTTTGGAAGAGCAGGCAATGCTCTTAACTGCTGAGCCATCTCTCCAGCCCTTTAAGCTATATCTTAAATCATTTCACATAGTAGTGAATCCTCATGACCTTTCATAACTTCCTAACCTCCAAATTGAGCCCTCAGAGGTGGGTAAGAGGAGAGAGTTCTTTAGTGGGCAACTGCTGTGTTTCTAATACTTTAGGATACGTTTGACTGGCACTGGACAAGATGGCTCAGTGGTTAAAGCCCTTGCTGCTCTCGCAAAGGATCTGGTTCACTGTCCGGCACCCACACAGTGCTTATAACCATCTGTAATTCTAGCTGCAAGAGATCAATGCCATCTTCTGGCCTCTGAGGACACGGGGCACACATGGTGCACGAACATATATGCAAGCACTCACACATATTCATAAACAATTCTTTAAAAGAGATAGATCTATGACCCTTTTCATCACTATTAGCTGGGCATTCTAATTCTTATAGACAAAGCACAGAGAAATGTTTAGTTTTTGTTTAAACAACTTTTATTATGGAAAAATTTAAATACTGCATATGAAAATTACCAACAATAGTATACTGAATTCCTGTATACCATAAGGTACTTTTGATTTCCAACAATGAGTTAATGTTGGTTTATTTAGTCTCCCTACCCATGTCCCCTCCTCCATATAGCTTTTCTTCATTTTATTCTGAAGCACATTCCAGATACTTCATTGGGTGTGTGTGTATGTCAGAGGGATGGTTGAGTTACAGCTGGTGAGTGAGAATCTTCTGTTAGTATGTGGGATTTGAGGCTGGCACCTGAAGTGTGGGGTAGCTGTATATACTTAGCCCTGAACCAATGAGATCTGACCCCATCTCGCAGCAGGTGTATCAGAATGGACGTGACGTTTAGGACAGCAGAGTGGTGTCCAGTGGAGACCTGTTCGCTGCGTAGACAAATCTTTCCAGAACACATTAGGTCACAGAAATGTTCTCCACTGTGACATCGCCCCCCCCCCAAGAGGATCTTACCTAACAATTCCTTTATTATGACAATACACACCCTTCACATCAGCTGCTTTCTTCTTCAGGGCACCCGTTATTTGTTTGGCTCATTTCCCATCAGAATATAAATTAGGACACCCTTCCATGTTGTAAAATCACAGTCTAGAACTAGAAATGGCAGCTAATGGGGGCTCAGAGAGCAGTTTTCTTGTCAAGGCAATTAGGTGATTCTCCATTGCAAAACCCCAAAGCCACTTTTACTCTTGCTTCAATTTCCCAACAATCATGACCAGTATTGACCATTTCCTCTTCCAACTACCATGCTGCCACTTCCCTTTTCTTGTTTTCTTCTGTTACACCTTTTTATTCTGTCTGTGTGTGAGCGTGTGCATGCACATGTGTGTATGTGTGTGCAGTGGGTAGGGAGAGGTCTACCATCTAGAGGTCAGAGGACAACTTTATGTGATTTTCTTCTTTCACTTTTATGTGGTGACCTAGTTTTCTTCTTTTATGGCTGTGATTATCATATCCTGACCCAAAGTAACTTGAGGAGGAAAGAGTTGTTGACTTCATCATCAGGGTTCACAGTTCCTCCCTGAGGAAAGTCAGGGTGGGAACTCAGAGCAGGAACCGAAGGCAGGAGCTGATGCAGAGGCCATGGAGGGACCCTGCTCACTGTTTGTTCTCCATGCCTTGCTCAGCCTGACCCAGAAGCA